TATTATACCAGTCAGATCACTTTACAGTAACATCAATAACTCCGAGTGAAAAATCGTTAACAACAAATTTTGGACGTGTGAAGTATTTTCGTCTTATTTTGTTTTATTTATCATAATGTGTCTTTACCCTATATATTTGATAACGTCCGCTATTGCTAAGTGTGAATAAACGTCTAGAAACTGATATATATATATATAGAAATAGACAAAAAAAAAAAAAAGGATTAAAATGTATTTACGATGTTAAAAAAAATATTAATAGACAAACAAAAATGCATTACAGAATAAGATTATTAAAATCGGTTTGTCATCTTCTGTTTATTTCATTTATTTTATTTTTATTTATTTATTTTATTAAATCATCATATCAACAAAATGATGAATTTATTTTATCATCAAATAAAAATTATCAAATAATATCAGGTGTAATTACAACATTAATTAAAAGTACACATGAATCAATTAATATGGCAATTAATATGTTACATTCAATTGAATATCATTATATAAATTATTCATTATATCCAATTATTATATTTCATGATAAAAATTTAACAAATAATCAAAAATTAAAAATTCGATCTTGTGTTAAAAAATTAAATTTTACATTTGAATTAGTTGATTTTGATCGTATGTACATAGAGTATCATGTGCAGTATTAATTTAAAGTTTTTTTTTTGTTTTTTCTTTCAAAAATGATATTTCTCTATTATAGGTCTATATAATTCCAGTACAAAAATAACAATGATGAATACATCGTATGATCGAGGTATTGGCTACCGTTTAATGTGTCGATTTTGGGTAAAGTTTTTCACTAAATAGCCTAAAGAGTTATCAGACTAAAGTATACTAAATTTTAGATATGAACTTATGATGACGCACAAGTTTCCCTAGTAAAAATCTTAGACACTTCTTAACATTATCTTTCTAAGATCTTATAAGATCTTATCCTTTAAGATTTTGATAAGATAATCTACGGTCTTATCGTTTAAGATCTTAATAAGATTTAATGACTCTACTT